AGGAGCCAAAATTGAGTGTGAAATTAAATTATGGTAATAATAATAATAATAATAATAATAATAATAATAATAATAATAATAATAATAATAATAATAATAATAATAATATGATCTGGGCGAAAAATAAATGATTAGAAAAGGAGAAAAAAGAAGAAAAAAATAAGAAGAAAACTAGAAAAAAGAAAAGGAGAAAAGAAAGAAAATAAGAAAAAAAAAAGAAGAAGAAGGAGAGAAATAAAAAAGAAAAGGAGAAAAAGAGAGGAAAGTACTTACAAAAGCTATCATGGGTAGGAAAGGTACTTAGTTTGATGAGTAGAAAAGTAAATGGGTAGAAAAGGGTAAATAGTTTTATTTTTGTGGGTAATTGTGTCATTCAGCCTATTTTAAATTGTAATGGCAAAGTAGCCACTGAAATTTTCAAAATTTAACAATTTTGAACCTTTACTAGTACAAAATCCAAAATGCAGGAAAAACTACTGATTTTTTAACCTTTACTAGTGCAAAATCCAGGAACAGTTCATGATTTTTCCATTCAAATTATACTTCAGCAATTTTTTACCTTTTAATATAAATTTCAGGAAAAACTACCCGTTTTTAAATCTTTACTATTGCAAAATCCAGGAATAATACAGTAATTGTACCTGGAGTTGTTCCATATTTTAGATAGGGATATTTTCGTCAAGACTTATATTTTCACATTGATAAGTAACTACTTTACCCATGCAGTTTAAAATATAGCTAAGCTCTATAGCTAAGATCATCCAATTTTAGACGAATTAGTAAGAATTCATCAATTGGAACTTAACTATGTATTGGGGAAAAAGAACTTAACTATGTAACTCTGCTGACTTAGGTTGAGCCTTTAAATTTCATGTAATTTTTTCAAATTTTTTTAAATGTAATTTGGTCTGCAACCCGGGATCTTTTGATATGCCAAATAAGGAATTTGATGGTTTGTGTCTTGAAATTTAAGTCCTCTACCATCAATTATCGGTCTCCAAATATTAAGTGTGGATTTAATTCTCACTGTGAGTCACTTGGTTGCCTTTTATCAATCCCCCACTATATTAGACTTTTTATTATATAAGAAAACAAAAGAAGCTACTACACCTCTGTCCAAGCAAATGCATTTGCAGTTATAAAATATAAGAGCACTGAAATGTCTGGTTCCAATCATTATATGGAATGTTTCCCCAATCGCACAGCACGGCTTAACATCCCTTATGAAAACAGAATAATGGAAGAACAATAAAGGGAAGAGCAAGTGCCTCTTTTTTTGCAACATTCAATTGCTCCATCGAATTCTTCACTACATGCCCCTGTGTACCTGCAAATAAATGTAAGTAAAATCAATTTATCTCCTTCCATTTTCTCAAATTAAACCTTTTTAATTTAACTTGCACCTAGATATTCACTTTGTTTGTTCTCAAAATCAATTTGATGTGCAGCATGAATCACCCCAATGCAGCCTTCAATCGCTGGGTTGAAACGCTTGTGCACCTGGAAGATTTGTGAGGTAACTCAAATCCCTCTTGCGATCTAGAGTCAATGGATTCAAATTTTCATCTTCAGAAGTTTGGAATGAACACATCACTCTCTCCAAGCTTCAACCATTATACACATTGATTTGTAGGTAAATTTGCTGCCCTTCCTTCGTGAGTGCATAAAACGTGGAATTTTGAATGTAAGTATAACTATTGAATTCTCTATCCATTAATCGTTGAAACGAAGCCAAAGCGTCTTCGTGACACCATCTCAGCACTCAAAGCCTCAAAGCAGTGGGAACCCCAACTGTTGTCAAGTGATCACATTAATCACTGTTGCAGCTGGTATTGGACTTTAGGTTACCATCTCTAATTTTTAGATTTACTTTCATTTGGTAGTTGAATTATTCTTTTTTGTTTCAAGTCGTAATTTTGAGTTATGCTAGAGAGTTGTTTGATGAAATGCCACAACTAGATTGGTCTGTCTTAGAATGCTGTGAAGTTTGAATTCCATGAATGTTCCTGGAGTTTGAAGTGACAAAGGTTTGAATTCTATGAATCATTCATGGAATTTGAAACTCCATTAAATTCTCACACTTGTACTGTGAAAGTTTGAACTCCATAAATCATTCTGAAAGTTTGAGCTTCATGAATCGTTCATGGAGTTTGAAACTCTAGCAAATTTTCACACTTAGATTGTCAAAGTTTAAACTCTATAAATCGTTCCTGAAGTTTGAACTCATAAAGGTTTTGAGCTTCCTGAATTGTTCTTGGAGTTTTCTGTGTTTTAGCTCGTGGGATTTTGTCCAAATTTTATTTTCACATTAAAAAGTGGCTACTTTCTAATTACATTTGAAACAGTGACTAAACGCTTGAAAACTGGCCATCCCACCTAATTTACTTTGCGGAAGGACGATGATAGCAGAAGGGTCAAACGCAAAATGGTGTCCGCACTTGCACGAAGATAGCCTAGTCCATTTATTTTGGAAATGGCGATGTGGCTTCCGATATCGCGAAATACCCCGGTGTATAAAAGATCAGTTTTGCGAGATTTCAAACTTTCTATTCTAATTCTGAGCGAAAATACTCACAGGTTTGAGGGAATTTCAGTTCAGCTAAGGAACTATATATTGGTCTAAGGTAAGCATTCTGATCTCCAATATCATTTAGAGCATGTTATATTGGATACAAATATTAAAACTTCTACACAGGAGGACTCTTTTAGGCTCTATCCATGCAAATACATTTGCTGGACTTCTGTCCATTCATTTGAACCACCGAAATATGTAAGAGCAATAAAATGTAAGATTCCAATTATTCGGGTGAATAAGTACATGGAAACAAAGGGATTAGAGTATGCCTCTTTGTTTACAACACTCAATTGCTCCATCAAACATTTCCTCAAGACCATACTTGTACTTGAATCCAGTCTCCAAAAGCTTTTTTGGTGAAAGGCTAGGTGTTTTAAGCTCTTCACTGCTTGTCCCTCGGTACCTGCAATGCTTCAATTAGTTTCTTTCATTGTCTCAAATTAAACTTTTTGATTTGACTTGTGCCTAGATATTAATATAAGCAATTAAAATATGCATTGCTTAGCTTATGAGAGCAATATCACATGTTCTTTGGCTAATCAAATGAAGAAAAAATTCTATTTAAAATAGGTAGCGCAGGTCATATCTAAATCCTTTTCAGAGTATATTTTGTTTCGACAGTCACTTTTGAGAAAGTTAATTATTTAATATTTCACTTTCTTCTTTCCTCTCCTTATCCAAGCGGGAAAACTTAAAACAAGCAAAAAATCGAAGTTAAGGCAAGAATGAAGAATCTATACTTACTCAGTAATTTGTTTTTGAAATTCAGGGTATCTAGTTGTAAGAAATTCAGCTAGCTTTTCACGTGTTATTTCAACAGCTGAGCAGATATACCTCCCTTTCGCGTTAGGATTGTCAAGAAGGAAGATGTGAGCATTTGTCACATCATCAACATGTACAAAAGGTACTAGTGCAGGATAATTCATGCTATTATTTTGATGACCTGCAAAAATTTCAACTACTATTAATTAAAACATACCTTAGGCAAACGAGAATCAATGATAATATAATTTAAGACATACCAAGAATCATTTCCATAGATGAGCGAACAGAGCCAGGAATTTGAGGAGTAATAAAGGGGCCATGTATCCAGGTAGGGATTACAGTCACAAAGTCAATTCCATTTTTTTCTGCAAATTCCAGAGCTGCCTTTTCCGTTAAGGTCTTGCTAATCGCGTAAGAACCTCCGAAAGGCTTTAAGGTTCTTACAAGATCCACGTTAGTCCATGAGTTTTCATCTATTATACTTGGACTATCAACCATAACCGTAGCTGCACTAGAAGTATACACGACACGTTTAACTGTCTTTGAATTCAGACACGCCTGTAAAATACCTAAAGTCCCATTAATCGATTGTTGTGTTATTGTTTCTTCGCTTTCTTTGTTCTCAAAATCAATTTGATGTGCAGCATGAAAAACACCAATGCAGCCTTCAATCGCTGGATTGAAACTCTCTGGTTTGTCTAGATCAGCTTTAAAAATACGCAGCCTTTCTGGTGCACCTGGAAGATTTGTGAGGTAGCTCACATCCCTCTTGCAATCTAGAGTCAGTGGATTCAAAATTTTCTATCTTCATAAACTTGAATGTATTTCATAATCAAATAAAAGACTAACTAATATAACTTCAACTTACAATCACATAAAACAATTAAATGAATAAGAAGTTAACAGGGGATTTTCTAAGAATAAATCTTCATCCTGCATACGAGTGACAAATGGGTTGTTTGGGTTGTATTTGGACTGGTCAAGATGGGCTGACTCATTAAATGAGTCATTGCACAACCCTGCCCAAAGTTCACTTGGGTTAAAATGGGCTAAACAATTAATTATAACCCAACCTGCCCAAATTGACCCAAATATTTGCAATATTCTCAACTTTTAAACAAGCATATGTAAAACATTATCTTATGTTTTGGAATAAATGTCAATTCATGCCAAATGATTTCTTTCCTCAATTTGGATTTAGAATTTTATTTGATAGTTCTTCATCTTATAATACTAAGATGAAGAAGAGTTTTGGAAAATGTTTTCCTTCTCTTGATACGGAAAATAATTTTTCCCAATTGGAGAAAAACTAATTCATAAAAAAAATATTTTTCAAACATTTAAACCAACCAATCATGGAAAAATTAAAAAATATTTTCCTCCAATTAGATAAAAACGAATTCATAAAGAAAATATTTTTCAAACATTTAAACCAACCAAACATGGAAAAAAACTTAAAAATATTTTTCAGTAACATGGGTCAAGGTAGAACTCTAAGATTGAGTATTTACATGGGTCAATGTTGGGCATTATTATGAGTCCATTTGGACTGATGATTTTTGATGGGTGAACTTGAGTTAGCCCAAAACAACCCAGTTTCAAAATCGTTCTAGCCCAAACTCATTAAAACTTGGGCGGGTTAGGCGGGTCAAATAAGTTTGTGTTAGTTTTGCCACCCCTAAATTCCAGTATTTGATTTATGGATTAGTTGTCATATTCAATTAGATCTTTTTTAGTTAAAGACCCGGCTGAATTTTATTAGACATTTATCTGATTTTACAAGAATTGTTTCTGCAAACAAAAAAGGTACAAGACTATGGCAAAACAGATATGGCAGATGGCCTAAAAACTGTTCGATTAAAGACTGAAAAACTAATCTACATATTCACATAGAGAACAAGTGAGGAAGCAAACCCAAGGATTGTTGGTCACTTTTACCCACTAGGTAACACGTTTTATTTTTCAAAACAAAAAATTCCACAAGGGGACTTACCTGCAAATATTATTTAGATGATCTAATGGCGTAATTTTTTTTGTTTTTTACAATAATGTATATAATTTAAACTCATAAAAAATCACCTGGGTGAGACCTAACAGTGGTGTTAACAGAATAACCAAGTTGAAGAAGCCTCATAACCATCCATGATCCTAGATAACCACTTCCTCCTGTTACACATACTCTTCCCTTCCCCTTCTCTTCTTTCATCTCCCTCTAGTGATTTCTTTTTCTTCTTCTCTTTTTCCTATGTTCTCTTATTTCTTTTTATCTGTCTCTATATAGTAATAACTATCAATTGGTCATAGGTTATATCAAAGTGGTTGAGAAGTAGACGTAAAATAAATTGTCATGTTATATGTCAGTTACCCCTTGCTTTCATCTCTTACAAATGGCAAGACATTCAATTGGATGGGACAACAAATGGACTGGAGGAGAAACAAAATGAGAAAATCCTCTTTTTTCTATAATATAAATCAAATTGAATTTTCATCAGTACGTTCATTCCTTAATATAAAACTTACCACCATAGTGCAAAGTCTCCCCATCCTTAACAAAGAGCATATCGGATTCGAGCCGTATGAAGTCACCTTTAGTAGGAAGTGATTTACCCCAGCGTAAGACTTTCTCAACGCGAATCCAAATCAGTAGGACATTAAAGTAAGTACTAGACACCCGATATAAAATAAAAAATAAAATGAAACGTATGTGAAAAATCACAAAACAAAACTCTTTTGATGGTCTTTATGCACAAGCAAATCCACGTAATTCACCTTATCGGTATGCAAATCCACCTTCCACCAGCAACATGTATCAGGTAACTCTGTCCACCAGCAAAATAATAGATTTATCTTAGATGGAAAGCTATTTTGAAATCATTAGATTATTATTTTTTAGTTCTTTTCTTCTTTGGAATTTGACATTTTTGGTCGAAATAGATCGTATACTGTTATTAGAATATTTTTCATTTGTATCTTTTCTTTTGTATATTTTTAATGACCAACGATTGGATTGCTTAATGAAATAACAAAAACTAGCCCGCTAGCTAAAAATTAAGTTGCACTGTCTTGTATTTTAAATTAACTGCTCAATCGTTGCTACTCATTTTTTATATTTCTATATCCAGTTAAATATTTTTTTTGGGTAATTCTATATCCAGTTAAATATGTACAAAAGAATGTTTACTTTGTTTGGACGAAAATAAAATTTCACTTTTTTCAAAATGAACGTAATATGGGGACTTGGATGTCAAAAAGGTCACAATCCATCAATTTCATTGTTAGCAATTATAACTCACGTAGCTCTCCATTTCATTTTCTCATATCAATTTTAAAACACAACCCAGAATAAATTAGCTGATACACAATAATGCGACTCTTTTGTGACATTTTAAAAATAAATTACCAAAAATTAGTTGAACCAAAACTGATATAAAAAAAAATTGAAATAATTAGAATGGTTTCAGAAGATCTAATTTTAATCATACATAATAGAATAATAAAAAAAATTAGTATGATACAAAAATAATCGATGGACCCAAATCATTGACGGTGTGAGATTTGGTCCAGTAACTTTTGGTGTAGTAAAGTTTAATACCACACTTGATATTAGCCACGTATCACTAAAAATATGAACGATGTGGATCATTAGTCTTCAACAAAAATATTAAAAATTTTACAGCCTGAGAAAAAGAAATCGTCCTGTAATCTTCAAGCTGCTAAGTTCTTTATCTTGTTATCATTGTTTTCTTCCCTTCAACTTCTTCCAGAATTTCTTCGCTTTTTCTCCGACAATCCCTCTCCACAAAAAAAAATAAAAAAAATATAAAAATCAATGTTTTTTTTGCACCTGCAAAAGCTTTAAAAAAGAACCATTTACCAGAGATTTAAATATTCCCAAGAAAATAATTTTCTAGACCATGTCACAACAATCTCAAAAGACCTTTTCTTGCTTTTTCAAATGACATTAAACCCAGCTCCCAAAAGATTTCCTTTAATTTACTTGGTGAAGTTAAAATAAGATTGAAGTTGATTATGCAGATAACACGACCTTCTTATTGTTAAATCTTATTTCATGCATATGGCTAATACGAATTTTATAATCGTATTGATCACTTTTGATGGTGTATAACTTATTTTTTACTGATGACTTCTCTAATGTTAGAGGAGACAATCTTGTCGTGATAAATGACCATACAAGTCTCCCTATTGTTCATGCACACATTTTTCTTTTTGAGTATCCAAATACAAAACAAAGAACCATTTGTTCGGTTAACGAGATGACTAGATAATCTTTACGATTTTCTTTCAATCAGATATCCTCAATATCGAATAGCAAAAACTAGAATGTTAGTCTAAAATGATCATTTTATTTGGTTCTTGATTTGAAAATATAAAGGGTTCAAATCATATAATTCAATCCTCTTTTCTGCAGAACCTTAACAGCTTGTTGGGATGGTTGTCCCCTATTGTATTGTATCACATACTTACTTTAAATCCCATATTTATTTTAGTTGTTATTTAAATTTTATTGTATCGTATTGTTAAATTCGTAGTTATGTAACGATAAAAGTGCAACTTTATATAATGAGCGATTTAGCATGGTCGCGTCGTTACCTTGTTCTTTTCTCTCATTTTGTCTTTCCTTGTTATTAATTAATCATAGTTTATCTTTTATCCTAAATTTTTATATGATAATTCTACCTCGTATCTTATTATTTTTTTTTTTTGTAATATTGCTTGTTTATTCTTCAAATTGTTAGTATCTGACATTATGAAACGATGACAAATTAAACGATACTCCATCCATTTCAAATTAGATGAGTTACTTTCCTTTTTAGTCTGTTCCAAAATAAATGACACATTTCTAAATTTGGAAATAATTCAACTTTAAACTCTTAATTTTACCCATTTTACCCTTAATGAGAAGCTTTTATAACCACACAAATGTCATGGCCCCATAAAGCTTTTACCCCTTAAGCTTTTAAGACCACAAGTTTTAAAAGTCCTTTTTTTTTAAAACTCTGTGCCGAGTTAAACTACCTCATCTAAATTGAAACGGAAGGAGTATAATTTATCAAAACACGGGTTTCGTCAAAGAAATTTCTGGCCGCTGGATTCAAATTAAATACAAGTATTGTCTCTAGAAAGAGATTTGCTCTTTTCTTGAAAACACTTTGTTCTCTTAATAATTATGCAATTTTCTTGACTATTGCATTATTAAAGTATTAGATTAATTTCGAACCAAGATAATCCGTTTTAGTAACCAAAGTGATGTTATTGAAGCAATACGAAAATTAGTGTTCTTGTGGACTTACCAATCTATCTACATCCCTTTGGCGTAGGGTGTTAATAGTCTGGGTCGGTCAGTCATTTTAAAAAATTTAAATCATACTGTTTACCCTCAAAATCGAATAACAATTGAATTTGTAAGTGGTTTTAAGTATACGTGGATTAACTTGACACAAAAATGATAAATCAGATTGCAATTGAAATAAATAAGGGAAAAGTAAATGCAAACCACACAAATTGAACAGTCTTAGCTTTAGAAGGTCAATCACCCTCGAGCCAGGTGCGCTTCGATCGGTGTCAGGATACAGAAGAACAAGAGATTAAATAATAATAATAAAATATTGCTTTGGGATGCGTATTACAATGTGTTCAATGAATTATCAGTCCCCCCTTTATATAGTAGATGAGTCCTACTTTAGGTACAATTCTATAAAAGGTAAAAATCATTTGATTTGCTGATTGTCGGTTCCTTATTGATACGTGCCGAGATTCCCGCCATAATATCCGACCGGTCACGGATATTTCGGTCTTCTGTTAGTTATGCTAACAACATTTCTTTGAGCTCGATCGGGGCTAAGGTCGACTCTGGGATTACGGACTCAATTTTCTCGAAGGCAGGCGTTATGGCCCCGGGTTCTAGCTCGGTGGGACTCGAGGTCTATCTTCAGTCTTTGGTTGTCATGTTCCTAACCTATCATGCCAAAGGCGAGCTCGATTTCGATCGTACACAGATAGTCCCCTCGTTTTTTGGAGAGTAGACGACGAGAAACGATATGAGCTTCCGATTCTTTCTTCGATATCATACGACAGAATCGACAAAAAAGTTGAAACGTCTTGTCAGTCAATTCTTAATGGTATTAAACGCTTGTCAGTTGCTGGTCGGCCACTCCTAGATGTGAACCGTCACTGAAAAATTATAAATACCCCTCATTTGTTTATTCAAACTTTACATTCAAACCTTTTGCCCTCATTCCTAAGAAATTTCAATACTTTCACGCACTTATATTCTAGTTACTTTGAGATCTTTTACAAGAACTCTCACTCGACTTTTTATCAAACCATCAAGTGTACTCTTTTAACTTCCTCTTTTTCCTTATTTTCTCTCTATAAAGAAATGGCAAAAACTTCCAAAACTGTTCCCCAAAAAGAAACTCCTTCTACCTCGCGGCCGGCTACCGAAGAAACCGCTTCACGTACAGCTGTCGAGGAACCAGCACCGGAACCTCCTCTAAAAATGTTCATCCCGGGGGGATGCCCGGTAAATGCTGATTTTAAAGTCGAAAAGCCCTCCTTCGTACTAGGCCGGTGTGAGGAGGTCTCGAGGTACATCTGCTCGATCACCGAGGATATTCTCTCCGAAGTCAAGAAGGATTGTAACTAGACTGACAAACATGTGGTGGTTCTCGAACCTGACGAAGCTATCACCATCTACGTCGAGGGATTCTTAAGTGTTTACACTTATCCCTTCACGTTGAGCCCCTTGGATCCGGTTATCTTTGACTTTTGCAAAATATACGAGGTAAACCTCGGTCAAATTCATCCTTCTTTCTGGAGGATCGTAATTCTCCTCCGTTTCTTTGTAAGCAAGATCGAAGGGTGCCCTTTCACGATCGATCACCTTATGCGCTTATACAGTCCCGACTCTACCGGGGAGGGGGGGACTGATCAAGCTCGCCCGTTGGGCCAATAAAGCCGAGTTCTCGAGTATCAATGAAGATAGGTATCGAGGTTATCTAGGCCGTTTTGTCCGAATGAGGACCTCGGACGTGATCCCGACAGAGCACATGTCGTTCACCTAGAAGTGGAACATGAAACGTAAGTATATAATTTTGCTTCCAAGGATTTATTTATCTCTCTTTTTCTTCTTTCTTATCGGTGTTCTGTGATGCTGCAGCTGTTGCTCGGATCCCGAATGCAGTTCCTCGACTCAAGGAATGGGTCGATGGTATCGTATCGCAAATGCCTTATTC